TGGACTCCCAGATGGGATTATTCCCTTTTGGTTGCTCAGTACTGGTTTGGTTTCCTTGCTCAAAACTGCAGATTACCCCTTCTGCCTCTTTTATTTCTCCACTGGATGTCAGCTCTGGGGAAGCCCAAAGTTAAGATTTGCAAGCAGTAATAATTAGCCAAAACCTTGGCTATTTGTGGCACGATTCTTCATCCACTGAAGTTGATGAGACTTCAAAATCTGCTCCACAGAGAATTTGGGGAGATCCACAGCAATTGGCAGATCCATTAAGTTGGGCTTTGTTTAACAACTGAATTAGCCCACTAAAACCACTTGGATTGTGTAAAATGTGAGGCTGAAACCCCAACAAATGTGACTCAGATTGCCCACTGATGATCAGACAGATGCCCTTAGTTCTGGGATGCTCTTCTCTGTTGGAAAAGCCTTTGTTCCTTTAAGTCTCATTAGCAAGATTCCCCAGTTCCCATCCTGCCTGCAGCATGTTCCATATGCTTGCTGGTCAGGAATCCACAGGAATATTTAAATCTCCAGCCCTTTCCCCTTGGCTCCAGGTGTTTGACCACACATCTTTTGTTCCCTCTGCAGGATCTGATACTTGCAGAATTCCTGCACTCAGACCCGGATTTAGCAGGGGGGGTATAAAGAAAGCCAGGGCTGGATCTGTTGGATTCTCCTGCCCACACTAAAATCTCTTCTGTCTGGTTACAAGGGGCTGGACAACAGAGCTCCTGGTTCTTAAAAAGTGAAGGCATAAGAGGAGGCAGGGAGGTAGGAGATGAGGTAAATTGTCTTCCCCTCCTCACATCACCACCCAAATTTAACTGACAGGATGAAGACCATGGTTTTTCTTTTTGTTTTACAAAACTGACTCTACAGATCCTCCCTGCTTGTGAAAGGGCTGCTGCACTGCATTAAAACAGGTGGAATATTTGGGTAATCTTTTCCAATCAGAGATACACTGGGAAGATGCTTTTCTGCCTCCAGAAACTGGATCTGCTGTGTGTGAGGAGCAAGGGGAGTGGAGGGATGGAGGTAAAGCAGGTTTTTTAGGTTTTGTTGAGGACTAGCTTTTATAAAACCCTCTATGAATAAACTCTGATCTCCAGGGCTTGGTGGGCTTTATCTGAAGTCAGACTTTTCCTGAAGTCAGGATCTTAAAATCCTTGGGTTTCTCTAATAACTGGGAGAGGATATTTTTCTGTCTCATCCAACTTCCATCCTGTTCAGGGCCTGGGATGTGGCTAAGAGTCTCTTCAAATCTGGCAAGCCCTCAGGTTGTGAGCCACCATTCCCACCTGGAAATGGAAGTGCCCTCAGGGATTACCTGGCCAGAACCCAGCTGCACTTACTAATAGTCTTTATAATGTGCCTCAAAAAAATGTAAAGCTCCGGCTCCAAATTACAGAGACTTTTGCCCCTGCTGTTCCCACTCGATGCTGTTCAGACCCCCACTGTCTCTGATGGCCAGAAACCTCCTCATTTCCAGCCCACACATACTCACTGCTAGCCTGCACACATTTATGCTTAACACCATGTTTTAACATAAATACATTTCCCCTTTTGTTGGTATTTTCCCTGTGGTGTTCATTTAGAATAATCAAATTCTCCCTTTGGGCTTTCTTTTTGCCGAGACATTTAGTTCCCTCTTACCAGGCAGCTTCTCCTGCCCCAATCTACCCTTCAGAATATCTTACTTGAGCTGAAATTACCCACAATTTCCAAGTAGTTCAAATGGGATCTTGCTGGGCTCAATATAATAGTGATGGCTCATCTCTGCAAGAATTACCTGATATTTTCTGAGGTTTAATTTGACTTTTTCCACGGCTGTGTCACTCCCAGTTCTCATGGGATGGACTAATAAACCTGGACCCCTCACCTCTGTCCTTTCCAGCAGCTGAAATTCTCTGTATCAGCCCAGTCTCTGGCCTTGCATTTCATGCTGTTGAATTTCAGCTTGTTTTTCTCACTCCAGTTCTTGAACTCATCTGTTGAAGGTGCCTCTACCAGCTCCAGTGGGACCTTCTGAACACTCTCCTCAATCTCTGCTGAGGTCATTAATGAAAACTGGGAGTAGCCTCAAGACTGGGCACTGCACAAGCTGAACAAAACTGATCCCTGCCCGAGGAATGTATCACAACTTCATTTTTTGCCTTATTTTTCCTGAGGATTTGCAGGGTGTTGAGTCCAAACGGGGTCTGTCCTGCCCAGTGGTGTCACAGCTCTGTTTCATGTCTTTGGTTTCTCTGGTTTGACCCAGAGCTGCAGCTCTGGCTCCCACCTCTAATGCAGAGATCACACATTTGTGCAGTTTGCAAATCTGGGAAAAAAAACACATTAAGTGTTGATGTAAAAACCCAGCTGGGTCCCTCTCTGAATACACGGGGTGTAATCTGATTTACACATGGTGATTTCAGATCCTGAAAGTTGAGGGGGTTTTAATTCCTGGTGAACTTTGCTGTGCTCCCTCTTTGTCCTGGTCCTGGAGGGTGAAGATCCAGCTCACCCCACTCAGCTCAAACTTTGCCTCTCCCTGCTGGGTCAGGCTTCCTGCACCTTCCCCAGAGGTGAAGTTTGGAGAGGTGTCCCCAAAATCTAGGAAGAAATCACTGCAACTTGGCCGTTAAAACACTGGTTGTCTGTCCCTGGGAAAATCCCTCACATGTGCTAAAATTCTGGTCCTCCCCTGATTTTATTCACTCATTTTTCAGCCTCAGTTTTATTTTTTACTGTAGGAGTTTCAGGTCCATCCCCAGCCCTTGTTCAGCCCCTCGTTGCCAACAGGAGGATTTTTGGCTGGTGACTGAAGACAACTTGCAAACTTAAACCTGTCCCTGCTGAAGGCCTTAGTAGAGACTTAGGAGTGGCCTAACCCGTGTTCTTCTTTCTCAACAACTGTAGTTTGGCCAGCAATGGTGTTTGGGCTCACATGGTGTGTGTCAAATCCCATTTTGTTGAGGAAAACACAATCCCTCCAGCAAAGATTCAACAGTAAAAATGCCTTTACTCTGGTTTAGCATGGGTGGACGAGCTAAGAAATGAAATAGTGCACACACAAGTTTGTCTTAAGGCAGTCCAAGTGCTCATCCATAGGCAGGGGACTGATTAATGTGCTGTTAGTTCTCAGTGTCCCTGCTTTTGTGCCTTTCCTGGTGCCAGCATGTGACCCCAGGCTCGTGATAATGACTGCAAGGAAGACTCATTTATTGCTGCGTGGTGGGGGGCTTTTCAATCTCACACACAAAGGCAGAACAAGATCCAGCAGCTGCAAGTTGGACAAATCCAACCCTGAAATAAGCCACGGCTTTCCTGGCTACAAAGGGGGAATTAAAGTTTGAAACAGCCTGTGAGGGGAGACGTGGAGTGGCTGTAGCTTGGAGTGCAGGCAAGACTTGCTGTCCCTGTGAAAAGGGTTCCTTTAATGCAGCATTTTGGGAAGAGTTCTGTGATTTCTGTGTGCAGGAGGTCAGCTGAAAGGAGTGCAGAAAGGAGTACAGCAGAGCTGTCTGGCCTTGGAGGGTGAATTACTGGATGTGATTAAATGACCCTTTTGGTTTGGGTCAGTGAGTTTCTATAATGAAAGGATTGGCTGGCACACGGAGAGGGCTGTGGGCTGCAGCAGCATCTTGGAGGAAATAAAAACCAGTGTCTGTCTCACTGGCTTTCTGATGTTAATAATTTAAGTGTTGCTGTTCAGCGACTGCGTGGTTAAAACCTGCACAGACGTTCATATCCAGATATTTCAGTGGCAGCAGACTTCGATTCTGAGCAGCTCCCTGTTTTTTTAAAGATCTTTCCCTTCACGGTGTTTGTCACTTTGCTCTTCATTAGATCCCACTTTGTATCGATCTCCCTCTGGGATGTGGTGGGAATGGGAAGTGCCTTCGACCACAGCCAAGTGCAGAACACACACTGCTGCAAAGTGTTGCTATTTTTAGGTCCCAGGAGAAATCTGAAGCAGTGATTATCATTATATTTTCATTCTCTCAGCCTTCAACAACAAACTGTGAAGGCTGTACTAAAATGGCCTGCTTTAAACGTTGTGAAGAGTCCCAGAGTGACAGCAATCCCTGAATTTTGGATTTCTAAGGTTCACCAGGTCTGAATATATACAAAATTGAGGGATTTTTAATGCAGCCTGTGTTTTTTCCAACACACCAGATGTGTTATTGCAAGGAGGTGCTCTCAAAACGTTCCTGCAGCCTTAAATAGTAGTGGGTGAGATTTTCAGAAGTCATTAAAAGTAGCTGAGCTTTGCCACAACGAAAGCCAAGAGGAAAACCTTCTCAGTGCTCTGATAGCAAAAGGATTAGGCCCAGAAGTGGGGTGTTTTGGAGTCAAGTTCAGTTGGTTCTGTATCCACAAGGATTAGAGGTTTGCAGTGACTGAGTGATCACCTGCATGGTTGGAATTTGCAGCAGACCAGGGAGCTCAGCAGCGTTTTGGTACCTGAAGAGCCAGGTCTGGGACGTTGGATCCAAAGGTGTAGCCAAGACTAAATTTTATGTCTTTCAGGGAAGAATTTTTGTGCAGCATTGTAAGGAATAATTTCAAAGTAATCAACAGAGCCATTGGGTTTTTAAGGACAAATCCTTTACTTCCAGCTATTCTGCAGTCAGGAACTGAAGGAAACTCACTTTGGTTTTTCATTGCCCATCCACGTAACAAACATTATAAATGATGCTGAGTTAGATCATTAGCTTCACTAATCAAAATTATTAATGAAGTTGCCTTTTTAAACAAGGATTCTCTTTATTTTTTCTGGTTTCTGAGACCGGCCCTGGTCACTGAAAACCTCTGATCCCACTATGAAATCCATAGTTTTAGGAGCTGGAAGGAGGGCTGGGCAGGTAAGAGGAGCCCTCTGTCACTGTATCAGTGGGTTTATGTTCACAGTTCACTAGTCCCTGTTTAAAAACACCTTGCTGCCAGTTTAAATCACAGCTGGGCTCAGGCACATTCTGAGCTTCTCACCTGCTGACCAAAATCTCCTTTTGCTCCAGCTCGCAGATTCCCTCGTGCCCTTGGAGATCAAGCCTGGCATTTCCTTGGCAACAGTCTCTGCTGTGCTGCACACCAAGGACAACAAGCACGTGCTGCAGGTACAGGACAGTGGGAAAGGGGGAAAAATATCCTTACCTGGCTCTCCTGTCATCTGGGATCTCAGCTGTCCTCGTGAGGAGCTCCTTCCCCACCGGAGCAGATCCTTGTCCGAGGCTGTGCCAGTGAGGAATTACACGTGGAGTGGGGAGTGGGATGCAAATAAATCTCTCTGCCCTCTTTCCCTTGGCCATGTGCCTGGCTGAGATAAAAGGGGAAGTGAGATTATTCCTGAAGGGAGGCTACAAATCATCCTGCTCTCTTCCATAACCAGGAGCAGCATCAGTCAGTCTCCCGTGGACTCTGAGCTGAGGGTCAGTGGAGAGAGATGACCTGGAACATCAGACCTGGGAAGGGACTGTGCCTTCAGTTGTCCTGTTCCCCAGGAGGCAGGTTGTACATCCTTGTACAACATGTTACATCCCTTCCTGCCACCTCCCTCAGGCTGGCACTGGAATTCCTGGCATTAGTGCTCCTCAGGAGGAGGTGATGTCCTGGTCCCCTTTCTCCTTGGATACACGAGCCTGCAGGGACTCAGTGAAGAGCCCTTCTCCTCCTGGGCCCAGCATGCTTGGGAAGAGGGCCCAGGATGGAATTGTCTTTAGTGCAGGGACAGAGAGATGGGTTCAGGGTTTGTGTCAGTGCACAGCAGACAGACTGTCCTTCTCTTTCCAAGTCTGTTCCCTAGAAACACCGAGCAGCGCTGGGAAAATGGAACTGTTGCAGTGGAATTGGTCTGAGGCTGCTTTGTCCTTTGTGTTGTTCATTTACTCAGATTCCTGCTGCCAAATAAACTTAGACCTGGCCTTAAAATGCCAGAGCCCTCATAAATGGCTGGAGCTGAGCCAGCCCGGTGGTACCTGTCAGGACTGGCTGAGCCTGGGAGCTCTGGAGTTAGGCAGAGCCCCTGTGTAGGCAAGCCCCAAAACTCAGTTTATGATCCCAGCATCATCTAACTGAGTGATTAATTCCCAAATGACATGATCCAAGCACACAGTCCCACCAACCAACAGGGAAATGGTGGGATTGGTGAAGTGACTCCAGTCACTGCAGCAGCTGCCACCCCCTCCCTGCCTGTCCAACTTCTTCCTGAAGACTCATTTTCCAAGGCCAGCGTTCTCTTGACATCCCTTTTTTCTCCTTCCCTGAGTATTTCTCTGAACTTGCCCATTTCTCAACCTGTTGCATCCTTCAGAGTGTGATTTTTTTTTTCCCCTGTGCACCTTCTCATCCACCAGCTCCCTCCAAAGCCTCCCCAGCCTCCTGCCAGCAAGAAGAGGAAGCGAGTGAGTGATGATGTGCCGGAGTGTAAAGCTCTGAAGCCGTTGCTGAGCGGCTCCATTCCTGTGGACCAGTTTGTGCAGACTCTGGAAAAGGTGGGGATTGCTGGTGGCAAGTGAGGATCCAGCAGATTTCTGTTAATCTCAGATGTGCTGCTTTGGTGGCAGAGAGGGGGGAAATAATTCTAGTGTAGCTTGCAGTGGGGAAGGGCTGGGTTAGCAAAGTATTCCATGGAATGTGCCTGGAGGGAATAGTCCCCTCTGGAGTCCTGATATAGAGGTTTCATGTCAGTCATTTCCTCCTGGTTTCCCATGGAAGCAGAGCTTTTGGGTCACTCTGGGTGGGTGAATTTCCCCCCGTAACTTTTTTGGGATTCAGCAGCTGATTTCCAGTAAATTTCAACAGTGGGGAGGAATTCTCAAAAGCGTTTACATTTCCACAAGTTTTGTGAGAGGGAGGTGGCCAAGTGAAAAAGAGATCCTGGGAATGTCTCCACTGGTGGAGCAGCTTTCTGGGGAGCTGCAGGATGGGGGATTTAGTGGCTGAGCTTACAGGCAGTTGGTTGCTGCTCTGAGGAGCCTTGTCCTTGTCTGAATGACTTCTGGGAGAAAAATAGCTGGAAAAAAGGCAGGATTGTGGCCTTCCTGTACCTGAAGGGGCTACAAGAAAAATGGAGAGGGACTTTGGACAAGGGATGGAGGGACAGGACAAGGGGGAACGGATCACACTGACAGAGGACAGGGATAGATGGGATATTGGGAAGAAATTCTTCCCTGTGAGGGTGGTGAGGGGCTGGAATAGAATTCCCAGAGAAGCCGTGGTTGCCCCATCCCTGGGAGTGTCCAAGGCCGGGTTGGACGGGGCTCGGAGCAACCTGGGCTAGTGGAAGGTCGGGGTTGGAACTGGCTGAGCTTTAAGCTCCCTTCCAACCCAGACCATTTCATGATTCCATGAAATTCATCCTCTCCCCTGCGCCCTGGGTTTTCATCTCTCCCTGTTTTCCTGAGCTGTGGTAACATCCCTCTCTCCCCCCTCCCCACCCCAGCACGGGTTCAGCGACGTGAAGGTGGAGGACACGGCCAAGGGCCACATTGTCCTGCTGCAGGAGGCCGAGACCCTCATCCAGCTCGAGGAGGACTCCACACACATCATCTGTGACAATGATGAGCCTCTGAGGGTCAAACTGAGAGACCTGGTCCTCAAATTCCTGCAGAAGTTTTAGCTCCTGGACATCCCACTGCTCCTGCAAGGAGAGAGCCCAGAGCGGGGAGACTCGGAGCTCTCTGGTGAGAGGTTGGATTTGGGGATTCAAAGAGAACAAGAAACCACCTTCCCCTTCATGGAGAAGCAAGGAAGTATTTTTAATATCTGTCTCCTAGAATTTACTCGTAATGCGTTGACTTCTTCATTAAATATTGAACTATATGCTTTTCTATTTTTTAAATCTTATTTTCAAGCTGTTTTGGAATACTTTGGAGGAGATCCCTGTTGTGTAAAATTGGGAGTTGGAATATTCCAGGAGCCACGAACTGCAGAGTGAATTAACTCCAGTGCGTGTGTACAGCACCAGGGTAAACTGCTGCTCCTCTGTGTGACCCTCAGCAGTGTCTGCCCCAGTCCTTCCCCTGACAAAACTCTGTAGGAATATGGAAACAATGGCCTGAGAGATTTCTTTTTCCTCCCACTGTTTCTTCCCAGTCACCAGATCCAGTTTTTCCTGTCCTCCATCCACATTGGACACGTGTACTGCACTGGCACGAGGAGGATCAGAAAGCTGGTGAGGCAAAGATTGTAGAAATAAAAGCAGAAAAGGGGGATCTGATGGACATGTGGAATGTGGGAAGGGCCTGGCCATTCCCTGCACAAGCAGAGGGATGTTGGAAAAGCTTTATCCTTTAGGAATTCCAGGTGTTTGTTGATGCTGCAGCTTCACCTCTTATAACCACATCTGTCCATGGAGCTCCAAGCTCTTCACTGAGCCAAACTAAAGCTGGTTCCTGCTGGTTTCCTCCATCATCAGGGGAGGAAATACCTCAGGAGGACACTTAGGGGAGTCCATAAAGTGGTTACATTCCTAGTGCTCATAAAAAACCTTGGAGATTTAAGTGCCTCTTGTTTCTACCTTCCAAAAAACTGTCCTTCCGGCCCCCACATCCCAAATCCTGGGTGGAACACTGAGTCATTCACACAAAGCCATCTGTGCTGCAGACCTGGGGAGGGTTTTCCCTCCCCAAATCACATATTTTGGGGGCCTAAACTTAGTCAATAGTTTTGCTTTCACGGGCGACCGATTTCTGGGATTTACGGCTGTTTGCTTTTTATTGGGTTGTTTTGTATTTATTTGGTGTCAAAAAAAATAAAAAGCATTAGTGAGACTGCCAAGGGGGGAAGCACATCCCAGGGTTTGTAAAAGCATCTCCACGCCCATTCCACATCCACTGTGCCCTGTGAAACACAACTGCTCCTTCAGTCGATGGCTTTGGGGAGGTTGGGGCAGGGCAAGAACAGCCCTGCAATAAAACCCTTTTGCCACTGGAATTCCCACATCCCATTAAGGATTTCTGGTGGATTGGATGCACAGATCCCAGCATCCACACCTTCACTTTGTGTGTGAGAAACAGGATCATGGATGGGATAAAACACTTGTTGCAGTAACATGAATCCTCCTGAGGGTTTTGCAGCATTTGCAGCAGCTCAGCTTCTTCACTGTCACTTAAAGATGGAATAAAAGAATTGGGAATATTTCACCTGGTGATTAAATCTCCAAAGGGATTATTCCCAACGCACAGAGGCCATGGGATAAACTCATCTTTCTGCCTTTTACCTCCAGTGTTGATCCCACTGCCCCAGAGCCTTTGTTTTCATAGAATCATGGAATGGTTTGGGTTGGAAGGGACATTAAAGCTCGTCCCGTTCCACTCCCTGCCATGGGTAGGGAACCTTCCACTATCCCAGGTTGCCATGGTCTTCACAGCTTTCCTAAGGCTTTCCCACCCTCCTGAGAAGGAAAAAGTAAAAATGAGAAGATTTTTTTCTTAAATTTCTCTTCTTGTCCTTGTGAGCAGGGAAACTTCTTGCTGTTCCATCAGCCCAGCACCTGAGAGTGGATTGTTTTGTTCTGAACAGGAGGGTCGTGCCTGCTGGAAAAATAAACATCCTGGGGAGGGGGGAATCCTTAATGGAAGATCAGGATTACAGCAGCAAAAGGAAGGGCTTGTTCCTCCTGCACAGAGGAAGGGAAAGCAGCAGCATTTCTTCGTGCTGGGTCAGTCCTGCAGAGTAACCATGGCAGCCCAGGCAGGGGGACGAGTGGGGATGGGTTTATCCAGAGATGCTCAGTTTACTGGGAAAAGAACAGCAAAGGTTCTTGGTTTCACTCTCTTTCTTCCAGAAAGGGGAAAAAAAATGCCCTTGGCCCCTGTTCCATTGTTCCATGGATCCCACATCCCACCCCGAGCTCCTCCTGCCTCTCTCTGCTGCTCCCCAAATGAAACACAAATAGCAGGGGCTGTTTACAGCTGGGCAGGGGATTAATTCCCAGTGAGATTCCCAACCCTGTGCTCCCACAGCACAGCCAGGGCTCAGGAGAAATGGGGAGGGAAGGTCAAAATCAGCTTTCTGCACTCAGATGGCTTTTATGGAACAGATTCCTGTTTTCTCTCCGTTGATGGAGCAAGTTGTTTAATTCCAGGTTCATATCCAGACACAATCCCAGGGATCTGTCACCCAGGGATCTGTCCCTGGGATCTGTCACCTCTGTGGGCACTTGGACGTGGTGAGCAGAGGGAAGCTGGAGCAAACTGGGGGATTTGTGTCCCATCAGCAGCTCAGATTTGGGGAGATGTGGGGAAATGGGAGCAGAGGGATTTGGGTTTGGCTGCACGTCCCTGCCTGGGCAGGGTCAGGGTGGGAAAGGTGGGATCAAACAGGTCCCAGTTACCTGTCACCTGGGAGCCGTGAACAGTCATCCATCCCTTGAGGATCCATAGCTGTGACCCTGTTCCTTGAAGATCCATGAACTGTGACCCCATCCACTGAAGATCCATGAACTGTGACTCAAATCCCTTGAGGATCCATGAACTGTGACCCCATTTCCTGAGGATCCATGAACTGTGACCCCTCCTTTGAGGATCCCATTCCTTCACCTCCCCTTCCCTTCCCTTCTCCTTCCCCACTTCCCCACCCATGGAAACACAGCAGCCCTTTTGCTTTCCAGCCTGGCAACGAATTCCAGATAAACTTCTTAAAACACCAGGGATAAAATCCCATTTTTCTCCCTAAAGCCCTTCCTGGCAGCGAGCCCGAGGTGTAAATCCTGCACAGCCCAGACATGGCTCAGCACAGGCCCAGCAGTGCCCTCTGGAAAAGGGCCTGGATGTTGGGATTTCTGTGCCCCTGCAGCCCCAGTGCTCCCCCTTCCCTGCCAATCCCAGTCCCAAACACTTTTACCAGGAAAGCTGTGCTGCTGCTCCGGCTCGTGGGTGGAAAACACTCATCAAAATCCACCTGGGAATGACAGACCCGGTGTGGGCTTGGGGCTGCTCCCGGTGTCCGGCCCCACAGGAGTGTTTTCCTGCATTTCCAGCTGGGAAAAAAAAACCCAAACCCAGTAATTTCCCTCTTGCTGCCCATCTCAGCTGGGAAGGAACGAGCAGGTCCTTTCCTGGGCTCTGGCGGGAGCTGCTGGATTTTATAGCACTGATGGGCAGAACAGGACAATTCCAGTGGAACTGCTTTTTATCAAGGAATGTGTCATCCCAAGGGGAACATCGAGGGCACTTTGTAGTGCAGAGGAGTGGAGTGTAAAGCACTTCTCACCGCCCTCCCTCCCGGGAGCAGGGAATGAATCACTAATGGGATTGATGGCTTCCTCCTCTCCCCAGTGCCTGCTTCCTCATCCCAAGGTACAATCCCTCACCCAGGCAAAAAGGAAATGGAACGGGAGCCGTGGTGCTGTGGCTCCTCTCACCAGGCACAGCAGTTCCAGGAGATTTTTATCTGCTGCCCCAGGGCTGGAAAAGCCTCCGGATCAAATCGGCTTCAGCTGAGCCCGTGCCCAAGATGCTGCTGGGGCTCCCTGGGGAGCCAGATCCCAAAACAGCTTCCCAACCAGGCCAGTTCCCTGGAGCCAGGATTTCTGTGCCCTTCACTGCCAGCGACATTCCAGCTTCCCTGCAGTATTCTGGGTAGAGACCTCAGGAATTTGGGAGGCAGGTCCTGGGCTGAGCATCCTTGCGGGACCAAAATAATTTGGGGGTTCCCTGAAACCTCTCCTGGAAATAAAGCCAGGCATGAACAAATCCCTACCCCAAGGAAGCAGGGAAAAGAAAGGGCACATTTCCCAGGGGAGCAGCAGCAAGGGCAGGAACAGAGGGAACAAGTGACCACGGAGGAAGAGGCTGCTTGGGAGGGAAGGCAAAGAAAAAAACCAGCAGGAAGGAAAAGAGAGGGAACCCAGGCACGTGCAGGAAATCCTGTGGGATTTCCAGCCCATGGCTTGTGGCCCAGCCACCTCTGTTTGTCCCCTCTGCTCCTCCCTGCAGGTTTGAAGCTGGAAATCTGTTTACAAATCCCATGAATCTGTTTGTGTTTTCCGCCTCAGCCTCTGGCACAGGAGAGGGAGCGAGAGCATCCCCCGAGCCAGCCATGCCATAGGAATGGCCCCTAAAGGATTTCTCAGGATCCCTGGGCAGGGCTGGGCAGGTTTGCCATCCCAGCACCGACCCGGCTGCTGCTTTCACTGCCTGGAAATCTCCGGACAGCTCTTCCCGAGGTGGCTCCCAACATCCCCCTGTCCCCGCAGGGCAGAGATTCCATGGCTGTATCCCGGCTCCCAACATCCCCCTGTCCCCGCAGGGCAGAGATTCCATGGCTGTATCCCGGCTCCCAACATCCCCCTGTCCCCGCAGGGCAGAGATTCCATGGCTGTATCCCGGCTCCCAACATCCCCCTGTCCCCGCAGGGCAGAGATTCCATGGCTGTATCCCGGCTCCCAACATCCCCCTGCCCCCGCAGGGCAGAGATTCCATGGCTGTATCCCGCCAGTGGAGCGGGCTCAGGGTCAGGTGCCCTTCGGTGGGTACAGTTGGTGATGCAGAAATCCAGGGGGTTCCAGCCCCCTGGGGGGTGTCCCCGATGCCACCAGGAGCCACCGTGGCACTGGGATGGGATATCCCGGGAAGATACAGAGGGGTCCAACCCCTGCGGGGGCTCCCTTGGAGGACCACGAGCTCCCTGAGGGACGAGAGGGGGTTCAGCACCACGAGGAGTTTCCACCATTCCGGAGCAGCCCTTTGCTCCTGCTCCCTTGGGAATTCCAAGCCTGGGAGGTGCTTCTTTTTGGGATGCTCCAGGGGCCCGGAGCCACCCCATCCTGGTCCCTCCCCTGTCCCGACCCCAGCAAAGAGGCGCCGAGCCGCTCCCAAGTTAAACTCTCCATTTTATTGGATCCTTTTACAAAAACCTCAACATTTGTGCTCGTGTCGAAGGAGTGTTTCTCGTCCCTCCGTTTTCGTTGGATTTTTAAATCCTGGCGCTCGCGGAGCTGCAGCAACAACCGCGGCACGGGGGGGGGGCAGGGCCGTGGGACGATCCTATTTACAGCGGGAAAGGCCTCGCTCCACGCCCGGGGGAAGCAGCAGGAAAACTCTGGGAAGGGGAAAAAAGGCCTTTCCCTTGGGAAAGGTGCGGCCGCCGAGAGCCCTTCCCATCTCCTCGGGGCCAGAGTGGCTCCGGGAGCTGGGATGGATCCTACAACCAAACCTGAGCTTTGCAGTGAGCCTGGGACCCCCTGGAAGTGCCGGGAGAACGATGGGGGGTAGCAAGGGAGGATGTTCGGGATGGTGGCACCGCTCCAGGAAAGCCCCTCTGCTCCCTGGTGGTGGAGGAAAAGTCCAGGGACAGCTCAGATCCTGGGATGTCTCAGGAGCTGTGAATCCCAAGTCTGTGCTCCGGGGGGGGTTGGTGGTTATTTGGGAAAGAGGGAAACAGCAGCAGGATGGGAGGGACAGCACCAGCAGATGTTCTTGCTGGCATTTATTTTCCTCACAGAATTCCATCCCTCCCTGGGATGTCCCCCCCTGGAGCAGCCACTTCATCCCTTCACCCCCAAATCCTTCCCCTTCGGGGGGCTCAGGAAGTTGGGACCCATCCCACGATATCCACAGTGATCCCATCCACACACATCCCAACCCTGCTCAGCCACAGTGCACCGGGGGATCCTTCCAACAAAACAACACTGGGGCAACAGGCCAAAGAGCCCGGGGGGAGGAACAGTTGGATTTGCTCCAGTGATCCCTGATCTCGACTGGCTTTGAACAGAAACACTCCGAGGGAAGGCGGAATTCCCATCCTGGGGCTCTGACAGTGCCGACAAAGCTCATGGAATACCAACATTTCCCAGCCTGTCCGCCTTCCCCAGGCTCCTGCAGCACAGGAAGGACAACATTTCCCTTCAGATTTTGGGAAATCAGTTGCTGAGCAGGGTCTGTGTCTGTATAAAGTGCAATCCACGCCCAACCATTCCGTGCTCCCGCCTGGCAGGGAGGGCTGGGAAGGCAGAGCCGACTCCAAGGCTGGGCTGGACCTGAGCTAATGAAGCACCTCCTAATGAGGGCGGAATTAAAGCTCAGGCCCCTCGGGATGCTGAGGCTGGAGCAGCTCCTGACAAAGTGCCACACTCCCACTCCGAGCAAGAGCACAGAAAGTCCTTCCAGGTGCTTCAGAGCCTCACAGGAGTCTCCCATGGAAATTTTAAAGAGACTGTGAACCTTCCCGTGCTCCCTTTGGAGCATCTGATGTTAAAGCAAAAAGGGGATGGAAAGGAAAAGAAAAGCCAGAGAGAGGAAAAGATTCCTTGATCTGGATTTCGCTGTGCTCGGCGGTGCTGGTGAAGGCACGAGCTGTGGGCTCTGCTGGGAACAGGCTGCTCCTTCCCTCCCCTTCCCAAGGAGGAATTTTGGTGACCCCCATCCGCAGGGCTGACAGGAAAAACTGGCTGGGAGGTGTCTGGAGAGAGCACGGAATCCCCACCACGTGGTGCAGGAGGAGCATGGACAGGGCTCACCTTCCGAGCGACGGACCATCCCTGCTCCCGTTCCGGGACACACCAGGGACACAGCCAGGGGGTGACATCCTGCTGGGTGCTGGGATCCCGAGCTGCAACCTGAGCCAGGAAAAGCAGGGACATGGAGGTGAATCACACAAGTGTCACCTTCCCCCCTACCCAGAAAAACCTTCTCCAGGCTGCTCGTAGCCCTCTGGGACGCGCCGAGGGAGAACATCACACGAGGGGAATGCTGCGTCCTTCCCTCCTGCCAGCTGGGATGGATGCAGGATGGAGCAGGGAGCTGAGCTCGGAGGTCGGGTGGTCACAGGTGTCACAGCATTTTGCTCTGGGGGGGGCAGGAAACCAGCTCCAAAACCAGTCCATGAACGCGATCCCAGCGGCGTCTCCTGGTTCACAGGACGGGAAGCTCCTGCTGGGATTCACCCTGGGATGCAGCCCAAAGCCAGGGGGTGAGGATGGGATGGGGTTAAGGCAGTTATGCTGAGGCCCACGGCCAACCCAGCACGGGCAGGGTTCGCTCTGGGACAGGGAATGAGGGACGAGGCAGAGCGGGAATTGTGGCCACGGTGCAGCCGCGGCTCCGGCACATCCCGGCTGGGCTGAGCACGGATCAGGATCAGGGCTCCACCAGCCTGGGGCACTGCCAGCCCAGCCTGTGCTGCAGGGGGATCTTCCCTAAGCCCCAAACACGCTCCCTGTCTTTAGAGGATTAGCAGGACGGGGTGGAAAAGGACATGGAGAACAAGAGCACAGCAACTGAACATCCCAGGGCTGTGGCATGGGAATGGCGGGTCCTGGAGCTGGGAAGGGTCACCCAGGCCAACCTCAGCCCTCCCAAGAGCAGAGCCCAGGGCTCATCACCAGCCAACACCTGGGAGTCCTCAGGAGCAACCACAGGGAAAGAGGAGCTGGGATGTGGTGAGCGGGAAGGGCTGGAAAGGGATGAAGGGACGGGGACAACAGTGGTGACCTCGCTGCTGCACTCAAACACCTCCAACCTGGCCTTGCTACGACCCCCTCGAGTGGGACGAGGGGTCCTGAGGGGAAAAGGGGATGAGGAGCAGGGGGGGTGGGGAAGAAAAGAAAACAAAAAAAGCGCCTCACGAGGCAAATCTAAAACACTTTCATTTTAAATAACAATAATTATAATTAAAAAGAACGGCCGCCCTCGGCCAGGGAAGGGGCAGAGCCGGCGGCCAACGGGCCATTCCTCAGTGTACAATCCCAGGGAGTGTCCTCACAGGAGCCGAGGGATCCCGTTCCCCATCGAGGGATCCCGTTCCCCGTCACTCGGTCGAGTCGCTGCGGGGAGAGCGGGAAAGGAGGGGCGGGACGTGCCCGTCCCAACCCAGGCCGTCCCGCATTCCCGGCGGGAAGCGGGGCCGGAATCCGCAGCGAAGGGCGTTTTGCGCTCCCAGCCCCAGCCACCAGCCCCTCTCCGCCCTTCCCGCCGGAGGTGGGAGCTGGAGAACCTCCGGCTGCTCCCCTTTAGATGAACTTGAAGCACTTGGTCTTGTCGTGGGGCAGGCGGGTCTTGAAGAGCACGGAGTCGACGCGGAACTGGGTGTAGAGCAGGGGCATGTACCCGTACACCCGCACGAAGAAGTTGATGCACTTGTGCCGCTCGTGGAAGTGGGAATCGTCGTGGGAAAGGGCCTGGGGGCACCCGGGGCAGCGGAACGTCCAGCGGGAGGTCACCTGCAGGGAGGGACAGAGGTGGGCAGTGCCGCCCTGCCCAGAATGCCCCGACCGTGCCCGAGGTATTGGAGGGGGCGCTTGGATAAGGGGGGAAATCATGGAATGGTTTGGGTGGGAGGGGACTTTAAAGCTTATCCAGTTCCAACCCTGACATCTTCCACTATCCCAGGTTGCTCCAAGCCCTGTCTAACCCGGCCTTGGGCACTTCCAGGGATCCAGGGGCAGCCACAGCTTCTCTGGGAATTTCAGCCCAGACCCTCCCCACCCTCCCAGCCAAGAATTCCTTCCCAATCTCCCATCTATCCCTGCCCTCTGGCAGTGGGAAGCCATTCCCTGTGTCCTGTCCCTCCAGCCCTTGCCCCAAGTCCCTCTCCAGCTCTCCTGGAGCCCCTTTAGGCTCTGGAAGGGGCTCCAAGCTCTCCCTGGATCCTTCTCTTCTCCAGCTGAACCCCCCCAGCTCTCCCAGCCTGGCTCCAGAGCAGAGGGGCTCCAGCCCTCGGAGCATCTCCGTGGCCTCCTCTGGACTGGCTCCAGCAGCTCCACGTCCTTGTGCTGTTGTTCCCCAGGGCTGGAGGCAGCTCTGCAGGGGGGGTCTCACCTGAGGGGGCAGAGGGGCAGAATCCCCCTCACTGTTGCCCAAAGTTGCCACAGAAGAATCAGCAATTTGGGGCACCCCTTGTTTTGGGCAGCCAGAGTAAAATCTCTGGAAAGGGCTCCAGTTTCCAGGAGGTGCTGAGGGGTCACCCACTGACTAAAGGGCCTCTTTGTCTGTCCTGAACCAAACATCCCCTGCAGAGCCCTTTGGGTTTGGCTGGATTCTCCTCTCAGCTGCACCAAACCCCACAGCCTCCACTTCCCAGCAGCTCCAGCTGGGAACACCACGCAGGAAAACACAGCCAGACCCGGCCCAAGGCAGTGACACTGGCAGGACTGAGGAAGCCCTTTGCCAGCAGGGATGAAGAGCAGGATGATCTGCATCCCAAATCCATGCTCAGAACTGTGACACTCATTTGCTATCCCAGGGTAGGGGAATTCCAGCTTGGCTGCAGCATTTGGGCCAAACACAGATGAGCCTGAATGGCTCTGGAAAGCCTCACAAAATCAGCAAGGAATCAGTGGGACTTGCACTGGAAAGAAGGAAATCTGTGGGTTTGGGATCAGTTGCTCTTTGCCGAGCCAGGAACACTCCGGGCTGAGCTGCAGCCCAAGTCAGAGAATCATGGAATGGTTTGGGTTGGAAGGGAAACATTAAAGATCATCTTGTTCCAACCCCCTGCCATGAATCCAAGGCAGGGAACCTTCCACTAGACCAGGAACTTGGTTTGGTTTGGTCTGGTAACATCAAACCTCAATCTGCTCACCATGGCGGGATTTGGCCAATTCCATGGGCTGAGCTTCCACACCTGGAGCTGGATTTCCCCTTTCCCACCACAGCTCCTCCGGCAACGCCGAGCCCAGGACAGACCCTTCCCAGAGCTTTTACCTTGATGGGAGGTTTCCTGGTGAGGTGGGAGACCAGGAAGTTCATGGCGATGTCCTCGCAGTTGATGTACTCGTCCACCATGTCCCGGATGGCCTGGGGCATCACGTAGGAATACAGGTAGGCATAGTACTATGGAAAACAGGGAAACAGGGAAAGGCACAGCCTCGGTCAGGGTGGTCCCAGTGGGAAGTGCCCAACCCCTGTGGTGCCACCTCATGGCTCCATAATTAGGTATCAAGATATGGGACATGTTGGGATGTGTTTGACTCAAAAGTGAAGGAAAACAGTGGGGAGATTCCCAGTAATGGAGTTAATCCTGCAGCAGCAAATCGACCTCCCAGCCACCACCCTCCCTGAATCCTGGAACCTCAGAAAGGAAGGAATGGGGGTTTTGTCCCCCCCTAGACCTTGCTGTCTCTGTTGCTGGGGAGTCAGCACTGGGATGGCTCAGGACCAGTTGGAGGAAGTGAGGGAAGATGAGCAGAGAGCTCCAAAATTCATCCTTAAAAGAACTCCACCCCTCCCAAGAGGCTCCTGTGAGGAGGAAGAGGCGGCTGCAGTTGGGGAGGTCTCACCTTGTGGAAGAAGGCAGCACCAGTGAGCACCATGGAGAGCTCGCAGGAGTAGTTGGAGTTGTAGAGCCAGGACTGGTGGGGGATGTCCCACGCGTGGTAGCGCCCCGGGAAGCCCACGATCCGATCCCGGGCCTCCCTCCAGACCCTGCAAACACAAGAGCTGGGGGTGAGGTACCACCCTGGGAAGCCCATCTGGGGCTGGGCACGACTTGGGACTCTTTTGAGGGAAGCAAGAGCTGGAGGAGCTGATGCATCAAAAAGTTGGGCAGCTGCTCATCCACTGGATGTCCAGAAGGGATAAACGTTGTTAAAATGGGCTTTGAGTTGCTCGTGCACAGGGAAAGCGTTCCCAATCCATAAATCAGGGATTTTCTGTCTCACAAGGGCTGTTGTGGAGGTTTAAAGGAAAACTTAAGCAGGAAGCAGCCAAGGGAGAAGCCCAGTGTCTCCTGGCCTCCTCCCAAATCCCTGCAGCTTTCCATCTCCCACAGCTCAGGTTCCTGCTCTGTGGGGCTGAGATAATGTCAATCCATTTCCCTTGAGTAAAAATTCCATTTTTAGGAAACCAATTTTTAGGAAATCAGTTTTTAGGAGAAATCACCTTCCCTTTAGGAAAGCTCCAAGGCCAGGTTGGACAGGGCTTGGAGGAACCTGGGATAGTGGAAGGTGTCCCTGCCCATGTCAGGGGATGGAATGAGATGAGCTTTAAGGTCCCTTCCCACCCAAACCATTCCAGGGCTCTGTGATTCCATGATTCTGTGAAAGCTGCTGAGATGCTGAGCCTGGTTTCTCCAGCTGGAACTGCTCCCACCCCAAACCAGCCCCTGGCAGCTCCCCAGTTTTGGCCATACAGGAAAATCCTCTTGGGTCACAAGCACGTCCCTCACTCCGACACACACTCACGGTGGAGCCACAGGGAATTAAATCCCGAGGATTGAGAGTGGGAGTGTGGGATTGCTTAACATTCTGCTCTCATCTGAAGCTCCTCAAGAGAAATCCCACAGGAGTTGCAACTCTGGTAGGAATAAATAAGGAAAAAGTCAGTGCCTAAGGCCTGATCTGGGAAATAAATCCAGCTTCCAAGGCAGGGGTGAGGGCTGCCTTTGGATCATCCCATCCCATCTCCATCCAAACCCAGTGACTCCAGACTGCAAGAGCAAACTCCCTGTGGGACACAGAAGGGTGTCTTCCCTTTTCCCCAGGCACAGAACAGGGCAGAAAGTGGCCTTTTGGGTTTTTTTTTTCCCTTGTGTTGATGTGAATTCCTCCCACAACCCAGGTTCCTGGAGAGCCACGGGAGAGCTGCTGAGGAGACCAAGATTCCCTGAGTTTCCCTCATTGTTCAGTCCTCTGCTCCAATTAATGAAACTCCAAAATAACCTGGAAATGAATCCTGAGTAATTAACATCACCAGCAGCTTCCCCGGCTCCATCCTCCCCCCCAGCCCTTGTTTGCTGCTGTTCCTGTCAATCCAGTGGGATTGTTTTGAAAAGCTGGAAGTCGAAACCGCTTATTCCCTTTCACTCCTCCCACGTCTCGCTCTCCTTCCAACGTGACACGTTTTCTTTCCCGGCTCAGCCACAAAAATTGGGATTTCTCCGGAGAATGGTTCTGGGTGTGCTCAGGGTTCCTGCCTCCAGCTCCTTCCCGAGCCTCAGACTGGGAAAGACGAGGCTTTTGGCCCCAAAAACCAGAGCCTGAAGGAAAGCTTTGACAAAACACACTTGTTGTGGGGTCACTCCGGCCAAGACTCCGGCTCCTCCTTGGCTGAGGGTGGGAACAGGGAGGCTTTGTGGGAACAAGGTGTCTGTAAGCAGGGATATGAGTAACACACAGCCCTTACAATCTTCATTTGATGCTCTCCAGGCAAAGGAAAACAGATTCCAAAGGGGGAGATGGGGACTAACAGCCCAGTTGAGACAAAGAGCCTGGAATGGGGCAGGGAAGGGAAGCCAGGAGTCCTGACGCCTCCTCCTGCGCTTTCATCCCTCTGACACCTCGTTCCTCATCCCTTTGAGGGAGCTTGGTGGCTTTCCAGGCGCTTTGTGCCCTTCAATCCTCCTCCCAGACACGAGCCAGTGTGTTTTGGTGAGAGCTGGTCCCTGTTTCCCACCCCCAGGGAGCTGCCGGGTGTTCCCAGATTCGGGATCGCGGCCGCTGCTCCTCGTGCCGTCCTCACTCCTCGTGCCATCCTTGTTCCCAGCACTTTTTGGCAGGGAGGTTTGGCTGTGGGAGCTGCAGGAGCAGCTGCCACAAACCTCCCACAGCAGGAACCCATGGAACTGATTTCTCCCTCGGCCCCCCTGCTCAGGAAAAGCCTTTTGCCAGGGAAAAGTCAAGGGGAAAACGGAGCAGAAGGGGAGTGGGAATGAGAGCAACCAGCACCAGCCTTCGCTGGGGAACATCTCCCTTTTCCATGCTCTGCAGAATGAAGTGCCCAAATAGCCCAAATCCCACCCCAGGGTCCCATGGAGGAGGGGAAGGCAGCACAGGAGCAGCACGTCCTGGAGTGGCCGGGAACGCCCGTGCAGGATGGAGTGCAACACAACAGACTCTGGGATTTGTTTTCTGGTTCCCGTCCACCCTAGGGAGGCACAGACCCTCAAATCCACTCAGGGACCATTCTCAGCACAGCCAAAGCCAAGGAGCTGAGGTTAAATGTGACAACTGGAGTTCCCTGGACAACCTGAACTGGTTAAACCACCCCAAAAAGCGAGTTCATCCACGGCAATGGAGCTGGAGAACCACAGGAAGGGATGTGTTGTCCCTGACTCTGGCCCTGGCTTTGGCAATGTGGAAAGCCACCCCGGGGTGTGGAGAGCCCCATTTTGGGTGCCAGGGCTGTGTGTGCCAGGGTGTCTCACCGGAAGCCGAACATGATCTCGTCGTGGCGCAGGTGGGCGTCGTCGTCGATGGACAGGATGGCCTCGGTCTCGATCTCGTCCCAGGGCAGGAACCGGTTGTTCAGGCTGTTCTTCTCCGTACGGACAACCTGGCAGGTGGAACGTGGAGTTATGGTGGGTGTCCGTGCCCAGGGATGGGATCTGGGGGCTGGGGTTGCGCGTTCCGGGTGCGGCGGCACCACATTCTGGCGCCGCTTCAAAGCCCCTGTGGAGGGGAATTCTTTCCAACCAAAAGGCACCAGCTCACTCCGCCATCAGCTCCAGGAATTCCCCTTATCCCACTGTCAAATCCTACTGGATTTCTCCCTCCTCTTAGAATCACAGAATAGAATTAGAATGCAGAACTGGGAGGGACCCCCAGGGATCATCCCTGGCTCTGCACAACCCCAACAATCCCACCCTGTCCCTGAGAGTGTTGTCCAAACATTCCTTGAGCTCTGGCAGCCTTGGGAAGTGACCATTCCATGGGGAGCCTGTTCAGGGCCCGACCACCCTCCAGGGGAAGAACTTTTTCCTGATATCCATCCCAAACCTCCCCTGGCACAGCTTCACACCCTTCCTCTCCCTCTTACAGGGATTACAGGTCGGGTTTTGATCCCGACACCACATCCAGGGCTCTGGAAATGAGGGCATCGTGTTCCAGAAAAGAGAACTCTTGAGGAAGATAAAAGTGAATTTTTGGGAAACTTTTACACTTTAATACAAGCAACTAACCTTGGAAAAACAGGTTAGGGGCAACGGGAAGAGAATTCAATTCAGGGGCCTGAAACGTTTCTCCCTCTCCTAAAAGTTTTTACATTTCAATGAGCCTCTAAAAAGCACCGGATTTCTCGGGCATGAAATGGGCACAAACACAACTCAGGAGCTGATTAGGCCGGGTGAGAAATGACCTTCCGTCCCTGGAAGTGTCCAAGGCCAGGTTGGACGGGGTTCGGAGCAACCTGGGATAGTGGGAAGTGTCCCTGCCCACGGCAGGGAGTGGAAGGGGATGAGCTTTAGGGTCCCTTCCAACCCAAACCATCCCGGGATTCCATAAGTCACCTACACAAACCTGCTGTGTGCTCCAGGTCACAGGGAGCTGAGCTGTCATTGGGGAAGGCCAGGAAGGCATCCTGTCTCCCCTTGAAGACTCCGAGAGTGGGAGAATCCACCTTTCCTCTGGGATGTTCCCTCTCAAACGTTAACGCTGCTCCTCTTGACTCAACCCCTTCAGCTCCCAACGCTCTCTCTGTCCCTTTTCACTCTCTGAGGTCTCAATCCCTCACCCAGGGCTGTTTCTCCCGCTCTTCCATCATCTTAAGGATGGGTTTTGCCACAGTCTTGTTTCTGAACAATCCCAAGCCAAGAGCTCTGTCAAAACCCAGCAAAAGATGTTCCCTCAGCAGACCTGAAAATGCTGTGCTCCGGCAAAACAGAGTCGGGGGTTTCCCTTCTCCAGGGAGATTCAGACAGTGAGGAGGACACGAAATCAGCCAGAGGACAACAACAGAGGCCCCAGCACACCTACCAAAAATCCCACCTTCCCTCACAGCAAACCTCAAGGCTCCCAACATGGAGCAGAGCACCAGTGGTAGGACCCGCACACAAACTCCGACCCCTCCAGACTCAAAGTCATCCCGGATTGTGTCCTTCTGCCTGCCTTGTTTTGGGCTTTTCCTTGGGAATAATTCCCTTTAAAACACTTTGCCATCAGCTAAATGGCCCGGAGATCAAAACCATGAACCTCCTGAGCAGTCTGCAGCTTTTTGAGACAAACTCAAGGTGATTCAGTTCCACCACATGGGATTTTTTGACTCAAGCCCCACAACTCCACGAAGCCCATCTGCTCCCAGTTTTTGTCGCTCACAGCCACGTTGGATGAATGGATCTTAAAAAACCTTCAGGAGAACTAAAGCAGAGCATAAATCTCGAGTTTGCCCAGCAGTAATGTCCTTAACTGATACTTTACAGTGCGTTTTTATACATAAATACAAAAAAAATGCAGGAAAATCAGTATCTTCCAGCAACCTCCTTGCTAGTGAGGCTTCACACTTAGGCTTTAAATTAAGTGCTACTTATAATTTGAGGGTGAAAGCATGAAGAGTGTCTGTGCCCTTGGAGAAGTTTTGGCAGCTCAGCTTATGGGAACTGGATTTCTGGGCAAAGAGCAAACTCTGCAAGAAATCGGAAACCTCATTGATCCCGTCAGGTTTTTGGGAGGAATAAAAGCCAGGAGGATGCCCTGAGGAGAGCAGGGTAATTTGGGGAGATGACAGGCTCTCAGGGAAAGGATCTGCCTCCATCATTCCCAAATATGTGCCAATTGAAGCCAGATGGGCTGGGGGGGAATATCAGAGGGGGATGGGGACACCCCGCGCTCCCCCTGACCGCCCAGCTGGGAATTACGGGGCTGGAGACGCCGGAGACAAACGACTCTGAGGAGCTGACCTGGATCTGCACTTGGAAGGGGAAAGCAGGGAGCTCCTGCCAGCACAGCCCTCCAGGGAGGATGTGGATTTACAGCCCTGTCAATCCCTTTTCTTGGCACCAGCTCCGACGGTTTGTTAATAAGCGAAGGAAGTCAGGGCGACGCTCCAGAGCTGCTCCAGGGATGTGTCCTGTTCCCTGTCCCAAGGACTGGGCCGGAGCAAAACTCAGCTCAGCATCGACCTCAGGGGTGGGATCAGCCCAGAGCCTCACCTGGGGCAAAGCTTCTTCCCCGAGGAACAGGCAGGAGTTCAGATTCCATGAAGAAAAGGAATCATGTCTCCCAGATGGTGGCTGACCACTCCGACCATCCCAAACTTGGGACTCGGCTCCAGAGGTGCCACCATTGCTCCCACCCATCAAGGAAGGCAAGACTGGCACATCTGGGAGCTGATGAGCTTCATCCCACCCCCATCCCTGTTCCAAGCCGAGCTGCTTCCCATCCACCTCTATTTCTGGGGAGCCAAGGCTTCTCCAGCTCTCCCATGTGCACCTGTGGCTGCTAATGTGGAAAAGGAATCAATTAAAATCAGCCAATCTAGGCTTAATAGGGGTCAGGGAGGGCTCTGCTGGAGGACTCTGGGAGCTGGCAAACTCTAGGAAAAGGGAACGGACAGGTTCCAAGTATCCCTGAATCCACCACACTCATTTTCAGCTCCCAGTTCGGACAAATTCAGACACCTTTTGATAAGGAAGTTGCCCAGATCAGCCCTTAAGACCCACAGACTCAGAAACACCAGGGTCCCTTCCCTCTACACATCAGGTCCAAGTGCTGGGATTATTTCCAAGACTCCTTGGAAGGAGGGAAGCGTGTGCAGATTCAATATCCATAAGCAGGATCAATCACATCCTTTATCACCATGGGCAACTCCGTTCCCTGCTCCCTCTGGAACCACCGTGTTGGATCAGACTGGCACTTGCTTCTCTGCCAGGGATGTGGATGAGGAAGACAACAAGTCTGCCTGGTCCCATCAAACACCATCCCCCTGGAAGCTCCATGTTTTTTCGGAGCGAAGCTGTCAATGGGTTTGCACTGACCGTCTGGACAAGTTTGGGATGTCAGACAGGGACAAAGCACCCTGTCCTGGGGGTATCAGGAGGAATTTCAGGGCAGGCATTGAAAGGACTGCCCAGGGAAGTTTGGAGTTCCCATCCCTGGAGGTGTCCAAGGAGGGACTGGATGTAACACTCAGTGCTCTGGGCTGGGGGACAAGGTGGGGATCGAGCACAGGCTGGACTTGATGACCTTGGAGGTCTTTTCCACCCTAAATGATTCCATGATTCTCTAAACATCCCAGCTACAGCAGGGATTTTAGCACTGGGAGAGGACCCATATGGAAACTACACACCTGAGGTTCATTTTCTTACAAAGATGGCTTTGATCCTGATTTCTTTGTGCTCTGTGTTACCTTCCCCCTGTTGCCCGTGTCGGAGCTGAAGGGAGATGAGGCTGATCCCAAGGCAGGCACTGCACTGGCTCCAGGACAAGAAGCCAAGGAGCTGCCAAGGAGGAGCCAAAGAACCTGTTGCCATGGCTACAGATGCCACCCAAAATCCCTGCAGCCCTCACCCCTTCCCAGTGAGGTGGCATTGGTGCAAATCACATGAGTCTGACCAAGTCCACAATTTTTCCTCAGTTTTCTCCACGTTTTATCCCTGCCTGCTCCCGGGGGAGCTGAGATGCTCCACAAAACCTGGCAGGGTCACCATGGCCCTCAGCCCAGACCTCAGATCTCCCTGACTGCCCTTTCCAAGGACACCTACGGTGGTGCTTATTGAAGACCATCCAGTGCCTCCTCAAAGAGCAGCATCGCCCCGCCGTGTCCCGCCCTGCCCACGCACAGCTGTTCCCTCCCGCCAATCCCAACTCCCACCACGACACAACCCTCAGAGGATGGCAATCCATCCAGCTCCCACTGGCCAGCACCCTGCTTTCCAGAGCCAGAAGCACAGATCCAACCCTTTGGCTCAGCCAGCAATTCTTCACCTCCTGAGAAACAAAAAAACCTGGCGTCTCTCGACACAACACGAGGCTCTTCCCGGCACTTTTCCAGGCTGTGTGGGCAGGCAGGAGATGGGATGCCAGCACGGCGTTTCCCCCATAACCAAGCTCCTGGGATGATGCCTTTTCTCCTCACAACAACACTCTCATTCCCAATTCAGACCCAAAAACTCGAGGAAATGACTCCAGCACAACGTGGGACTCCGGAGTGCTCCTGACAGCTCCGGATGAGCCGCAGATCCAGGGGGAATGGCAGCCCTGCACTTTTGACACGTGTGTAAACAGGTGCTTCTGTTTACTGAAGTAAATGCTTCCAGAAATGCTGCCAGTGCTGGCAGGTCTGAGCATTATGTCAAAAAAAAAAAAGGATGTTCTTTTGACTGTGTTTGTGATACTTAATGTTTGAAAAACTTGGGATGCACAGGGAAAATCGGATGCACAGAGCAGCTCCTTGAGGTGTTTGTTAAGACAAAGACAATCCTGACATTATCCTGGGGTTTACACAACCAGATCCAGAAGATATGGATAAATGGGCGTGGATGTGACCACAGCTCCTAAATGAACCCTGTCCCCATGTCCAAAGCCATCCTGGAGAGAGATCCAGGCTGACTGGATGCAGGG